AATAGAATAAAGGAATAAAGTTAAAGACTTTTTAGGTTGCTTATTTTTATTATTTATTAGCAAATGGAAGTCAAACACAATTTTATTGAATTAAAGATAGTTTATCTGCTTTTAAAGTTTAGTTTAGAATTTTCCATCCCTATTTCCATTAAAATTTTCCAACCCTATCTCAGACATTTTAAGTGGAAAATACATGAATTTTTTGCTTAATATAGATGCTTTGATAATTCCCTTTAGTTGTTATACATGGGCCTCGATCACTGAATTTCGTACATGACGTCACATGTGTAAGATGTAGAAAAATTTTATTGAAGCATGTATATCACTATATCTGAATTCAAACTTTAAATTCCATTTTGAATTAGCTTACAACGGAAATTATATCGTACAGTCTCTTAACATGCATTTCTGAAAACATTTTCATTTTTGAAAAATATTTTTTTAAAAATATGCAAATTTTTACAGCACGTGAAAAGTCTTTAAAATGAAGTACACTTCTAATACAAAACGAAATAAACAAAAAGTGAAAAGGCCTCTTAAAAATTATCATGTTCGCGCATTTCAACTGCTCCTATCGGAAAAGTATCATAATGAAATTGAAATGGCACTCTCTCACGCCTCTGTCTCTCTCAATGGTTCGAGTAGTGACAGTCAGTGGATCAAAAAACCAAGAGTTACTAGACTGTGTCAGGGTTTTGAAATTCAAATATAGTATCTGAGAAACAGGCGCTTCAACTGACTGACAGAATATTTTTTGGTCCAAATTAAGAGACTGCTGAATTAAATGCATTTGTCAATCAGAGCTGCAACTGATGTGTGCAAGGCTGACAAACAGACTATTGAAATTTAGGGAGGGGAGGGATAATGGTTACCTTTAGTTTTCTAATGTTGCCTGGTGAAGATTAACTATTCAATTAAGTGTCTATTAATATTTAAATAATTGAAGGTAAAATGTCATATACTAGACTTCAAGGATTTTTTTCCCAGAATAAATTTATAAATACTATCCTTGAGTTTTATTCACATTAAGCAAATTGTCATGTTTAGATAATTTTAATACACAAGTAGTTTTAATCAATATTATTCATATTTTTAAAAGGTTTTTATCACGTATCTAATTATTTTTAAAAATGAAACACTATTATATTCTTGAAACATATAATTATCGTTAAATTATGAAATAACTTTGAAAACAGTCATAGTTAGGTGATAAAACGCCCGTAATATAGAGTTCTCGAAGTAAAAATCTCCACTAATTAGATAGGGGTCACGTGGTACTGAAACGTCATAGGTGTCAATGGTCATTTAGAACTCGTAAAGCTTATCAACAGAGCTCCAGATAAGGTGCGTGTTTGCAGAAATATGCATTGAATTTTTCAAATTACGCATTAAAAATTAAAACAGGGCGTCCAATTATGCATTAGCAATCATAAATAAGCATTACACTACAAAAGTAATGCGTACGACGGATTTAACTAATTATATGAATTGAAGTCAGCTCAGTGTTTAAATTTTTATCAAAAGGAAATTTTGATTAAGCGTATTTGGAATAACCTAGGCGGATTTCCAGTTCGGGAGAAAGATTTGAATATTAAATACTCGTACTTTGTCTGAAAATATCACAGATTTCCACTGCTCATATCCAAATTTTTGTTCTTGACGCGTACAGGTCGATATTGTCAAAATTGCGCAAAAAACACGCATGGTGTCTAATTTATTCTTTATCACTGTTTATTAAACAGTTCTTGTATATTTACCATTTTCGGTTTTTGTTTTTCACATGCTCCTGTGCTATAAATAGCGCTACGCGACTTTTAATCCAAACGGGGAGTAACTCTAAAACTTTTACCTCCATCGATCCCAACAATTTATATTGCAAAACCTAAGATATGTTTTTGATTAAAAAAAAAAAAAACAAACAAACAAAATGGAAAACAACGGGGCTGGATATTTTGAGAGGAGCAGGTGGGGATGAGAATCTAATTAATTGTATCTGGCCAAATGAAGGATATTTTTCTTGGTAATTATTGCTAAGATCAATATAGGCCAAATTTTAAGGTCAGACGACACGTTCCTCAATAATATATAATTTTTTCCCAAGAATTAGCCATTGAAGTATTGCTACTTGAACAAGTTTCCTCACAAAAAATTGAGGTATCACAAAAGAATGAATATGATGGATAATTTTGGATAAATTATGAAGAGATACAAAATAAGATTTTGAGGAACGTGTCGTCAGTCCTTAAATGGAGTTCTGTGTGCCCGTGGTAACTTTGCCTACCATATTTTCTTTCTGGTGAAAAAAATGAAATGTTTCTCAGTAAGAGCTAAAAGTTGACAAATTTTTTAAAATTTCATTAAGCTGAATGATAAATGCAGAAACTGTCCTTTTTTACATTCCTCTTTCAAAAACACTTATTTCGATAACAAGCTAAAAATCACATAAGATGTCAAGAGAGCAATAGATTAACAAAATACTCTTTGATTATTTTGCTGAAAAGCAAAATCTGCATTGATTTGAAAATCAGGGAGTAAATACACTTTGAGGTTAAAAAAAAAATTATCTGGAGCTCTGTTATCGTAAGAAAAATGTATCAAACGGATTTTGGCATTAAATAATATACACAACACAATAAGATCGGTGGAAATTTTGACATCGACGATATTCTTTTAGTTATAGACGGTATGAACGTCTAGCAGAGAGAAATTAAATAACCAAGACAATATGCCGATAATAGGAGAGGACACCGAATACGAAGCCGTTGACAACTCGGGACTTCCGACTAAATAGAACGAATAACTAAAGTTGGACTTCGTAAATATTTATAAATATGAGAATTTTAAATTCCACTTCTTCATTATTTTAATTAACTGTATATATAAATATTCTATCTGTTCCAGTGAATATCATCTTCAACACTCTTCAACATCTTCAATGGTGCCGTACGCATTTACGAAGTTCACAACAATCTTACTAGCATGTACTAGATTCTGTGCGACTTTAAAAATGCATGTAGGGTTTTAAAAAGGTACCATGTTCTTAAAATATTTTATAAGACAGAAAAAAAAATTGTGATCGGACATAAACTATTGTTCTGAATGTAGACCAAGCCCTCGTGTTTGCAGAAAAAAGGGCCCCCTTTCGCTTCTCGACCAAGTCCAGGAAATATGAAAAAAGTCTTCCTAAAATCTTTCTTCTGCGCATTTGTGCATCCTAGAGCCACAAATTATACCTTTCTAGCTGTCAATTATCCAATTATCACTTATTTATTTACTTACAGGTTTAATAGACACAACAAATAAACCGTTTTATATACACAATAAGTACTTTGCTTGACCAGGATTGACACCTATGACCTCAGAGCAATGGCGCATAGCATTGGCGATCAAAATATGCATATTGAGAAATTCAAATTTTGAATCCCTGAAACATCAACCGTATTAATTTTTTAGCAAAGATTTTTTAATATTTGATTTTAATAACATGTAAACTTTGTCATATCAAAAAATTTTGAGACGTGTTAACCCTTTAAGTGCAAAAAGGCCAAGTTTAACCGACTTTTACTTAGAAGCAATGCATGTGTAATCTGAATTTCTCTTCAATATTTTTTTAGTACATTAGAAATATACTTCATGAAAAATTGACTTTACAATACTTTTAGGTGCACACCCTTTTAAATAATTATAATTCAATTATGAATATAACAGGCAATTAGATTAGAAAGAAAAATTAGATTATATTGTATTAACTACGTTGCCAACGTCATAATCTGATATGCCTTATATCCTACATTTAAAAAATTGTTCAAATTGAAACTATTCTATTAGGGAAATTGTTTTATTTATTATTCTTTATTAAAACCTTTAAAAAAAGATAAGATTATAGGGAATGAAATAAAGAGCTTTCAAAGTTATATTTATGTAACATGGTTGGAATAAAATAGTTTACTTTTTTATATACTGTCTCCAATTCGCGGTTTAGGAAGCTGAAACTGCTCCAATCCAGATTATACATTATAACTTGGGTAGCTATAAAACTTTTGGATATTTATTTGTGTGGGAACTACTTCAATATAGATTTTTCATTATAACTTGGTTAGCTACAGTGTATAAAACTTTTGGATATTTATTTGTGTGGGAACTGCTCCAATATAGATTATACATGATTATAACTTGGGTAGCTATAAAACTTTTGGATATTTATTTGTATGTACCGTTCTTAGAAAAAAACAACATTAATTAGATTTTAATACTATATAGTGTAATAGAGTTTATTTCGAAATGTGGGCAATTTTTCATGGCTCTACACATGTACATTATCAAATCACAACGATATGACTACATGTGTGTTACATGCATCAGCAAATTAGGGTAATACATGTTTTCATAGGAAAGACTCAAGAGGTTTTATTTTTTAGACCGATCTTTTTTTAAAATTCTAAATCTGAACAACATTGTACTTATTTTACATCTACAAAAGAGAATTGAATCCCTACAAAACTATAAGCAAAAACATTAAATAAATTTAAATTCATGTCAAATATTATTTTTAATTATATATAACATTACACAAGACTGGTAACTTAGGAAAGACTCATCACATGTATACTAACTAGCATATATGCATGCAAAAATCGCAAAACATTATTATGTTGTGTTATTGTTTTCAAATTGTGACAGCTATGAAGACCTCTGTCGTGTCTGAAAAGCTGCATTCAAATGTTTGCTCAAAAAACAGGTTAATAATTATAATAAAAAAAATTATCTGCAATTAATCTCGCTCTCTTTCCACAATGTATCCCGCACCAAATTACTGATTATTTTATAGAAATTTAAAATTTAAATTTAAAAAGTAGATAATATAAAAAAGATAATATAAAAAAATAGTTTATGTTAATATTAATGTCAAACACAATTTTCATAGACACTGTAAAAACAATTCAGAAACATATAGGAACGAGATATAAACAAATTTATTTCACATGTTGAGCATCCTTCGATTAACATTTTATGGGTGAACAAAGTTCCCAGCAAAACCGTAACCATCAGCATGTCGATGACCATAAACAAATAACCCAAACTGAGAAGCATCAGTTGTAGACAAAACAAATGTTCCACTTTGGACTTTAAAGGTACGAATACTGAAATGTTTAGTTAGGGTCAATGCGCTCTGGTACACAGAGGTATAATGAGAAACTGAAAAACCGTTAATCCGTAGACTGTTCAGTGATTGAGATGAAACTATCACGCAGATAAAATTTTCCTCATAACCTGCTGGTACAATAATCTTATAGTAATCAAGATATTGATGTACACCTGGTACGACTGTCACATAAGGATGATAGGGAATACCCATTCCAAAAGCAGTAACCAACACAGGATGATCTGATTCTATAACTGTTGTCACATTTGAAGTTACTTCAATGTTCTTGTATCCTTTTTCATTTAAATGAAAGTTTGAAACACTGCTTCCGACACTGGAGGTAATGGAACTACGATTCTCACTGAGCACTTGAATTAATGTCCCGGCATTGTGGTAGAAAGGGGGTATAATATATTGAGTATCTATCTCGGTTGTCGGAGGAAGCTGTGTTACCATGTGACTGCAACCATCTTTCAAATCTTGACATCGATTTCCAGAAAAGACTGCGATAGGTTTCGTAGACGTTATAAAGGAGCCAGAGAGATCTGTAGTATGCGCAATTTGTAAGGTATCAAATCTTTCTAACATTACTGTGAAAATATCTCCGTCTCTGTATGATTTACCCTGTATAGTGAGAGGTGTATTGTGCTTGAATTTGAATATAATCTCTACATTTGTCCTGTTATAGAGTGCACCAATAGCAAATTGACTGTAATAATCACTATCAGTATAATGTGGATCTGTTGAAGAAACAATATATTTGTTCGAGAGTTTCTGTGTTGGAATTATCAGCGTCCCATCGTTTGAGGTCAAATAAAAACTATCAAATATTGTTACAGATGATAATTCAGAGGTCTGTAGTATTAGACCTTTAGGTTCAACAGTAAAATATTCACAGTCAAGGTTTAAGGGGAGATCCAGTTTAAAGTTGGAGGTAAAATTAAAAACTGATTGAATGTTTGCATTCAAGTGAGGGGATGTTAATATTTTAACAGTTGTTTCGTTGTTTGTTGTTATGTAAACAGTCAAGTTCCGAAGCGCTCTATAATTCTTCATAAATAAGGTAAAAAACTCTCTGCCTCTGCTACCTGTAAATCAATCTCAAGATACAAAAAGTAGATTAAACATATGCTTGATTGAATGTTCAAATTGAAGAAAGTCTTACCCATTGATCTTGGTGCTTGAGTAGTTGATGGTGTAACTGTTGTTGTCGATGCCAGTGAGGAAGTTGAGGTGGAGGAAGGAAAAGCCAAATCACCGCCTACACATGAGAAAATTGTATGGATACTCTTTTACTTCATTATTACTCTTAAACTGCCTAAACGTGAGAGAATTGTATGAAAATTCAATTCAATTATCATTATAAATTTTATAATTATTTTACAACATTAAAATCTAATGCTGCCTATTATTTATTAAAAACCAATGAAGTGGTCATGCCTGTACACCCGGTCGTTCACATCATATATGACTTTTATGTGTCACAATGCTCACCATCGTAATATTTAATGCTTGCATTAATAATATGAATTATATTGTAATCCTGCTGTACCATGATTAAAGAACACTTAAGTTTGCACTATTTAAACATGATTGCCTATTGATATAATATAATTTATCACAGCACTGTCGTTCTTCATCAGAATATATCATATTATATGTGTATAATAAATTTTAAAGCTTTGATTCCCTACTTAGGCCCCATCCTACCACCAGGGGCCATGATTTGAAAAAAACAATGAATCTGCTTATCTTAGAATGTTTTCATAATGGTATAACCAATAATAATCCCGAGCTTCTTGAGGCGATTTTAAAGTTTCTTCCATTATAAATTTTATCTTTTTTGGCTCAATCTTATCCCCAGAGGTCATCATATGAACAATTTATATCTACCCAATGTCTGGAAGAATTTACATCAGATTCAGGTTTTCGCCTAGGGGCTCTTGATAAGGTTTTAATATGATCCAACCCTACTCTTGCCAATTCTTGATTATCGTCCCTTGGAAGATTTGAACAAACTTGAATTCCCTTCAGGTAAGGATACCTTGTGTAAAGTTTGATTGAAATTGGTCTTTTTGTTCTGGAGAAAAAAAATATAAAAATAAGCATAGTTAGTTTACGACGACGACGGCAACAAAGAAAACGACAAAGGACAAATTTTGATTAGAAAAACTTACTTGAGCCTTCGGTTCAGACGAGCTACCAACTAAACTTATCTAAGGAAGAATCATTTAAATAAACTTTGTTTTGTCACATAGATGCTACATGTAATTATAGAACAGATATGTACCTTAATGCGGTAAAGTAATTTCTTTGTTCTATGTTTACAAATGAAGTTTGACTTCAAAGGCAGATTATAAATCTGCATTATTTTCTGAGTACCATGATTATCTGCATATCAGTTTAACTTTTCTACGGTGTTTGATATCAAATACTGTAGATCCTTGATGCTTACATTCATTGTTACATAAATCTGCCAGACAGCATCTAGAACAACTTTGAAGATTTCTTTTTCCAAATATGTCCACATCAGACGTGCAAGCCTAGAATTAAAAACTTACCCTGTAAACGAAGTTGATACAGAAATTCTAATTGAAATAAGGTAATCTGTAACCGAGATATATGTTGTTACACTTGCATAAGAGCAGATACATTATATAACAAAGTAGTTTCTTTCCATGATTAAGCAATAAGAGGAGCAAAATCGGCATTTACAATCAACAAACAAGGACTTAGCAAGCAAACAATAAATCAGCAACCATACATGAAGAACAGCTTTACTAGGATTTGAATCATTGTACACTGAAGTTCGATGGTGTTTTTGAAAACGTGATTTTTGAGGCGTTTTACATATACCTGATTCCAAATGAATAAGAAACAAGCTATGAATTCAATACATCATTACATAGATACATATTGAAGGACTAGCGTTTATATATGAAAAATATATGTGAAACATGAATGAACATTTAGCAAGTCAATCACTGAACGTTAACAAAGTCAGCATTGACAATCATATACCATACTACTCCGCGCAATGTACAGTACACTAGTAACATTTTATGGTCTTTAAGTATATAAGGTCTTTTAGTTTTCCTATATGTTTAGGCACATGCATATGTATTTTTTAAATAGTTTTTTTCTTCATTTTATATACTTGTGTATTTCAATTTTAAACACACTAGAGTGTATATATTATTATGCGCTATAGAAATCATTGTATTGTATATTATGTAATCAGATATTTGGTAAAGCGGTCATTAAACAAATTATCATAGATATAGTTTTAAATATTTTTAAAATCTAAGTACCGGAAATACTGGTAAGCGCTAAGCATTAAAGTTAATGGAATAGTGCAATCTGAAATTCATCAGAATTAGTTTGGATTTGAATTTCCTCTTAAACTGGACCAAGTACTAGCATTTTTCTTCCCTAACGTCACTATCATATTGCAAGTAAATGAAACATTTATTTGCTTAAATTCATTCTCTAGGGGCTACACTCCGTTGCAGTGGAACTTCGTTTGCAGTTTGGAATTTCCTAATTTCTTAAAAGAAAAAAATTAGTTCAATGAACTAACGTGAAAATTCTTTATGTTCAATATTAATAGTATTCTTCATTATTTAAAACGAAATACTCGTGCTTGTTAGGAATTCTAGTCAACTCGGCACCTGGTAAACTCGGCACCTGGTGAACTCGGCACCAAGTAAAGTGAATTCGGCACCAGGTATATTCGGCACCTAGTAAACTCGGCACCTGGTATATTCGGCATCTAGTTAATTCGGCATTTATGGGTTTCTTCTTCACTTATTTATAATTATTTATGTTTATTTATTGTATATTTATTCAATGCTTCTGATTGTTTGAGGTGAGTTGGAGATTGCTTATGTTCGTATCTTTAAAAAAGAGCGATTATTACCCACGAGATAATTTTCAATCTCTATATATGATATGTATAACAAAACCTAAAATGTCACATTTACTAGTATACAAATTAGGCTATATCAGTGAAACACTCATAAAAGTAAACGAAATACTCAGCACGGAAGAAGAAATATATGTTAATAAGGAATTATTTTCAAATATTTATCTTCATAGCTTTTTTTTTTTTTTTTTTTTTTTTTTTTTTTTGCGTAGCCAATGTTTTCTGTGAGCGTTATTTAATTATTATGAAAAACTCATGAAAATAAACAAAATACTCGGCACGAAGAAAAAAAATAAGATAATAAAGAAATTTTTTCAAATATTTATCTTCATAGCTGTTTTCTATAATTGTTTATTTGCATAGCCAATGTTTTCTGTAAGCGTTATTTATTTAATATAACATTATAGTACAGCATTAAAAACGTCAGGTGGATCGATACATTTTTGACGCAAGTCTTTGTGACGTAGGCAACACATTTTATACGATATAAAGTAATTTTTTTCCCAATCAAATGGCATGTTACAACCAGAATTCAACATTAAGTCAGTCAAAAACATTTGTATAAAGAAAGTGCTTGATTCATCACGTGACATTACTGGGGTGGAGGACCAGAGATGGAGGCGCATTCTTGGAGAAGTTGGCTTGCATTTATTCCCCTTTCACAGTATTGTTGCCAAAGATCAAATATCCGCCCCTCAACTTGACGGGTCCTCTTTCGTTGATATCGCTGTATTTTCCCCTCCGACACCATCTTCATCTGTAGCTTGATGTCCATTGCCTCTTTGTAAAGGACGGCAATGAGATGGTAAAATGGCACGGGTCCCCTGGTGGCCACACTGGTATTCAATCTGTTGTGCCAACCCTCCACATCTTTGTTGGTCCGGATGGCTGTCATAAAGACACTCCAGTGATGGATTTCATAGATGGTGCTACGGATCCATGTTCTGTAAACGTAGTCCATCACTGGAGCTAGGACCTCTGGAGCACGGCCATCCAGACGGTGGAAGGCATCTTCGATGTGTTCCGGCGGGAGAAAGGGCAAGGCAAGTAGCTGGCGGACGAACTTGAATACTTTGTCCTTTTTGTTGTACGCTGTCTGTAAGAGTTAATGAATAAAATTTTGCAGATAAACATAAACTCTGAAATGCTTGCACTAGAGTTATTACATGTACCAACATTTGAACAGTTTAATATTGCATTGCATATGAAATCAAGTTCGTTAACTACATATGACTACATATGTATAACTGTTTTTTTTTAATCATGATTTCGAGATTGACATCAGTTTAATTTACTGCACGGGTATTAGTTAGTATTTTTTTTTTTTCTAAATTAACATTTTTTACCTGTAAGCCATGCTCCTGGACTTTCCTGAACACGGCTTGTGTCCAGTGAAAGGCACAACCCTGGATTGGCACGCGGGGGAACCGCTCCTTAAGCGCCTGCCAAAGCGCAGCCTCAAAGTCAGCCACGAACCCCTCCAACGAGATGTGTTCTGGCAGCCTTCTGTCTACGAACCTCAGAACCTTAAAATTGCAATATACATAAAAATGTATATATGTTTAAAATGAAATTGAATATTTAAAAAATTAGTATAAGAGAAAAAATATACTTGGAGTTTCGAGAATAATAGAGAATGGTTAAGAAATATTTGAGAAAGAAAGAATAATAACCTGGTAGTAGTCTTCTTTCCTCTTTCCGGACATAACGACAAACACCAAGGGGATCTGCTTTATATGGCTACCGGACTTAACTTCCGCTGGAAGTGCGGGTTGTGCTGGGGGTGGAGAGGCAGGTATTTCGGGTTGTGCTGGGGGTGGAGAGGCAGGCATTGCGGGATGTGCTTGGGCAGGAGATGCAGGTATTTCGGGATGTGCCGGGGGTGGAGAGGCAGGTTCCACTGGAGTTGCCGGCTGTGCAAGGGGTGGAAAAGCAGGCTCGGCATTTTTACACTTAGGACACGTCCATTCAAATTCTCCCTTGTCTTTTAGAAGATTTCTATATTGGGGTCTACTTATTCCTGAAAATTACAATGAAACATCATAAAGGAAAACAGTTGATTTCATTTATTTTTTTATTACAGCTATTATGTGATAAGTTTTGATATTATGAATTGAATAAATTTCTAACCAGTGTTGCATGTCCTATGTTGCCTCTTGTGACATTGGTAACACTGAACAGCCTCCTGTCGTGGGCGTACAATTTTGTTGCACTGATTGCATTTGTCTGTGAATATATAAATAATATAAAAATAAAGCTGATCTATTTGTACGAAATTTCTATACGTTTCATTCATCCGGTGGAAGATAAAACCTCCCAATATTTCAACCCCTTTAAGGTGAGACGATACGTTCCTCATAATCTGTTTTGAATGTATTACCTTTGTTAAAATGTATGAAAAATATTCAAAATTTTAATTACCTTCTGATTTCTAAACCAGTTGCTTATTGTCTTGAAAAATCGAAACAAAAAAATTGATATTGACAAATTAAGTGTTTTCTTTTTCCCCCAAAAGGATTACTAATATATAAGAAACACCATCCTGTGGTACGTTACACAAATGCCTGGTAAGGTACCTCATTTTTTGTGATGTTAAAATGGCAATACTTCAATGACAAAATCTTGGGAAAAATTATTATTGAGGAACATTTCGTCTGTCATTAATCCCATTCCGATTATTTTTCAAATTTTCCGTGCTTTGAAAAAATTTAACATTGATTTTTATTTGACTTTTTGACATCATCATGCTGTATATAATTTACTTGATTAGTCAATATGAAAAGAAATAGACATTACAGCTTCAGTACAATAAAGATTCTTTTCAAAGTAGCAGGCTTGGTTGGAATCTACATGAGGTCGCCTAAATTGGGTTGTAAATATGATAAAACGCACGTGTTAAATGAACAGGCATATTTTATTACTGAGTGTAGAACATTGTAATTCTCTTACGCTAATATGCTACAGTAGTAAAAAAATGTAATATACATTTTAAGTTGGTTATGGGAGCGGTCGTAACGGAAGTTAATTTTCATAATGATATAACAATGTTGAACAGTTTTTAATACAAAACAAACAAATTAAGGCAGCAACGAGAAATTTAAACTCTCCAGTAAAATCATTTATACTTTGTTCTTTAACTTAAACATTTTTGTACCTGCAGAAATATAGCGAGACTGAGAGAGATACATGTAACAGTATTCAGGGGTCTAGAATTTTTTTTTAAAGCCACTTTTCCACGGGCAAGTACTGACTGGTAATCCACTTGCCCAGTCTGAAAATCCCACTCCCCTCTATTTTATATCTAACACAGGAAACAGAACTCAAAAACTTAAATGTAAAAAAAATATTAACAATTCACTCTTTCTTTCGTTATTTCTTTCTTTTTATGTGAATTCTTAATGTAAACGCCACTTGACAGCAATCACTATTTGTACTTGTTTACTATTTTGTTAAAATATCTATTGATTTAATCACATAGGTAGACAAAACTTTTTATTTGAAACCTCGTTTCTGTTTTTAAAGCCATTCCGTAATTTTGAAATCTTATGAATTGGTTCCTATATTATACAAGCAAATGTATTACCGATGGGCGGAGATTAAATAAACGAAATGTTCCAG